CTTGTGTTTCCCTCCATTTCCACTTCACCCATGTTCCCCCCCCCCCCCTCCCCCCGCTCTTCCCCCCCCTCCCCCCCTCTCGGCTGTTTGCTTTGCGCCGGGCGGCACGGCGGTACCGCCGCGTTGCAGATAGCAGACACGTGGGGGTTCGCGGAGGCTATGGGGTGTCCCCACACAGAAACGGTCGGGGTTTTGATTTCGCTGGAGGCCGAGGAGATGCTCAAGTCGAAGAAGCTGGAGACCACGTACTTCGTCGTCAGCGCGGAGGGGCAACGGGTGCGCCTATGCATACAAGCCTACAAGAAGCGTAGTAGCACTTGAGCACGAAAGCAGTTGCAGAACTATTTTCACTTTTTTTTTTTTTGTGTATTAGTGTTGTTTCAAGCTTGGTCGTTCGGTAAAGGTTTTCGTTGCGGGCACTTTGTCATGTTTCATGTGTCGGGGGAGTGTCGGGCAGTACTACTGCTGTGCATAGGTCTTTGGAAGCGTCTGCTGTCGACAAGTAACTACATTGCAAGAGAAAAAGTGGCGCTGGTATGATATTTGACGAGCTCGTCTCTTGTTGTCCGGTCCTCACTCTGGTCCCATGTGTAGTCTTTTAGTGCGCTCCTGATCCTTGTCCCCCTCGTGTACCAACAAGGTCATTGGTTAGAGCCGTATGCCCCTCCGAACTACCTATGATGCATGGGCTCGATGGTGTATTTTGCTCGCGTCGTCTAGTGCTGGTGTTTATTTCGTCTTATGTGTGTTTGCTGTCCGTGGTTGTTGTCCCTGCGCGCCGCCGTTGTGTTTTTACACCATCGCTTGTCTTACTACGTTCTGGCGCAACGAACAGGTGATCGAAGAAGGCTCGCCTGAGATGAGGGTGCTGGAGTGCGTTCCCGTGGGTAGCGACGGCATCAGCAAGGCTGGCCTGGAGGCGGCCTTGGGGGCCGACGTTGTCAAGGTGCGTGCAGCACCAGCGCTTCGCCGTAGAAAGGTCTATATTGTAGAATGGTAGCACTCTCTCGCTGGGCCAGTCGGTTGTAGCGCATGGCTGCGCTAAGCGACTAGTTGTGTTTTGTTTATCTCGTACTTGCGGCCCATCTCTGTCTCTCTCTTCTTCTATAGTTGTTCCGTCTCTCCCCTCACTGTTCATGTTCGATTTTACGTGCATGCCAATATTTGGCGTCCACCTCTTCCCCTGTCCCATGTCTGCATCTCTGGCACATCTCTCTCACTCCCGCTTCTTTTGGACACTTGGACGTACTTTACCGAGAGTTTTCTCCCCCCCCTCTTTCCATTCGCCGTCGCTCCTTCACGAAGATCGGGCTAGGACAGTGCATGAAGAACAAGTGGGTGGCCAAAGGGGAAGGGGGCGTGCTCGTTCGCGGAGCCAACGGCGGCGATGGAGCGGTGGAGGATGCCGCCAAGGAGTTGCTCAAGAAGGTTGAAGGCGGGGAGACCCTGGGGGACCAGCAGGCGAAGGACCTGAAGCGGAGAAAACTCGTGACGCAGGTCCGTGTCTTGTCTGTTTGCACTTTGCTGTGTTTGCCTTGTTGCGTTTTTTGGCTCGCGGCTGGTTTTGTCTGATGCGTGTCTGTGGCACCGTTTTTTTGTGTGGGGACGTTTTATGTGCAGCGATGCAGTTCCGGTGAAGATATCATTGCATTTTGACCCATCGCATATGACACCCGGGGGGGGGGGGGGGGGATGCAAAAAGGGCGGGTTTGACCAGAACTGCTTCCAACCCT